CTAGACTCCTATCCGAGTCAAACTTTGTTATGAGGAACCTAGTTCTCCTCCTCAAGTCTGATCTGAATTCGCCCAATTCCATTGCTTCCGTTATCTGTTTACATTTACGTTCATTATTCATATATTTTAACCTGCCCCAGTATTTAATTTTACTTTTTGTCTCTCTCTCTCTTCAAAAGCTGACCATCTCATCTCCCCTCTAATACTCTCCAGTCCCACATAAGAGAGTGCCCCTAGTAACTCCCTTCCCAGCTGGTTTTGCGTCCTGTCTAGTGCCTGGAGCGTGGACGTTCCTCCTGTTTTATCTTTAAATACTAGGGCTTCATTTGTATACGTCAGAGCAGGCACTGCAACTGCTTTCCAAAGCTCCCTACCCACCCAATATCTATTGAAACTATAGAATGCCTTTGAAGCTATTGCTACTCTGTATTTTCTTGTTTTTTTCCCGTATATCATCCTCATGCTGTTGTAAGCAGTTTTCGATATTGTCACTAAGCTTTACCTCCAGGTAAGTGTATTCAGATACTTGCTGCAAATTCATTGCCCCCAGTTTCCAGACACCACCCTGTTGCTCCTCTATCGGCTTATTGAGAATCATGATTTCATCTTGAACCCCATGAATAATGACGTTGATCAATTTGAACCCCATGAATGATGACGTTTGTTATGCAGCACGCTATCCGTTGCCGCCGTCCGGTCCTCCGATGTCACTGACGACGGCGTCCCCTGACATTCGCGTCCTTATCGAGAAGGACCAAACCTGGGATATAGATGTGCTCGAGTTGGAGCGAATATCTAATAAAAGGTCAGAGTCTGCAATTTTATACATGAGTATTTATTTGTTATTTTTTTAGATTTTTTTTTACATGAGGCATGCTCCCCACAAAAAGCTAAGGTAATGTGGAAGCGTAGCATAAAAGCACCATCACTGACACGGTGGTGGACTGAGACACGAATTGTGATTGAGACTTAAGTAGACACTGTAACTCGCAGCATTGCATCCGACATGCTCACGCTAATGCTGAGACGTGCAAGCGAGACTTACTTACGATATGCAACACTCTTCTCATTTAAAAAATCTAATGTATACAACGGATTATTCTAGGCCTCTTCTCTATCTGGGGCTGAAGATATTTTCGAGGCTCGGCGTTGGCGAATATCTGCACTGTTCGGAGAGGGTGCTACAGACTTGGCTACAACTCATAGAGCAAGGGTACCATTCCACGAATAGCTATCACAACTCCACGCACGCGGCAGACGTGCTACAAGCTACAGCGTATTTTCTCAGCAGAGACCGGCTAAAGGTACTGGCAACAGCCTAGCGCAGACCTGCGATTTTTGGTTGCTCGTCGCTGCAACCTGCAACCGCAAGCGATCGGTCGATGTGTCGCCGCGTGTGCGCACACATGCGATTTCGAAGCAATTCTAGAGCAATTTGGGAGCGATTTTTGGAGACCCAAAATCAAAACAGTTTGATTTCTTGCAACTCGTCGCAAGCGACCAGAATCGCTACGGTTTGCGGTTGCACGTTCCCGCAGACGTAGCGATTTCACAGCAATTTTTACAGCGATTCTAGAATCGCTGTCGAGTTGCATGGAAAAGTCGCAAGTCTGCGCCAGGCTCAAGTTCTTTCGAGTCATAACTTAGTCGGGTAGCGATATTGAATAGTGGTATGGCATTAAATTAATGAGTGCTGATGGTGTTTCACACGAGAGCTGGCATGTGCATTCCGTTGTGCATTACGCTGAATGCAATTCCAATGAAGTGCATGAATGTACATTCTCAACGGAATGCACATGTGACATGTTATGTTAAGTAACATGTGATATGCACATGTTACTGCTAAATCATAATTGGTGCGTTATTGGTTAGAACATCGTAGAATCATCGTAAATTATCGTAGAACATTATTGTAGCAACTCCATCGCTGCAGCCGTAGCATCGGGCTTGTTCCTTGGCTAGTCTTGCGACAAACATCCAAAGCAGTATATAAAAATAATATGACTCCCAGATGCTGCGGTTGGAGGAGGGTTGGTCGTTATGGCGCGTATAAGCGATCCGGCGAGAAATAAAACTGAAGAAACAAATCCATCCCTACTGCCCAATCCTCTCTCCACCATACCCCATCCCGCTACCTTCCTCCCCCTCTTTCCCTCAATTCATCTTCTTCTTTTCCCCTCCCTCCCACCTATTCCTTCTCTCTCACTCTCTTTCTTTCTCTTTCTTACCCAATCTCGTTCTCTACCCTCTCTCTCCGATTGTCATCCTATGGTTCCCTTTGTCTGCATCTCCCTTTTTCTCCTTGTACGAACACATTTATTAGTAAGTGAGGTCGTACATCAATCAATCTTTATTGCGCGAATGAGCGCGGTATGGCTCGTGACGCTCATAAACATTCATACACATTGCCGGAAAGCAACAACTAACGGATAGGAAAGCAGTTGTCGATATATCATATAGGTGGCACTGCGTACCCGGAACGACCAGATCCGTATATATAGCCGTATATATATATCTTTATATACGGCTCTGGAAGCGACAAATCGATTTACACCGTCTCTGCGCGTAGTGGCTGATATATATATGGACGCGTGTGCCTATGTTAGTGCGTTCCATATTTGCAGGACACCCTGACGAAACAGGATCAGGTTGGTTCTGTGATAGCAGCAGCAATACATGACGTTGATCACCCAGGAAGGACAAATGTCTTCCTGGCAAACGCACAGGCTCCTCTCGCGTTGTGTTATAATGACAGGTAGGCAGTGTGATACACAGGTAGACAGGTAGGATTCGCTTGTGTACCCTCCTGCTGCTCTATCACATATATGAATTAATTGACGAGTGCCTTTCTCATTATGATCGTAAATTCAATTATCACAACCTAATTACGATTAGCCGGAAGTAGCTCACGCGTAACGGGAACCTAGAATATATATATATATATATATATATATGTGTATGTGTGTGCGTGTGTGTGTGTGTGTGTGTGTGTGTGTGTGTGTGTGTGTGTGTTGTTGTGTGTGTGTGT